GGAGCGTGGCGCAAGCAGTGGCACAAAGTGCTCCTGGTACTCTGCCCGGGCAGACCATCTCTCACCCTCAGAACCCGAATGAGCACTGCAATGCCATCATAACTAGGAGTGGCAAGATGACTGTTGATCCACCTGCTCGGGCACAAGAGAGAGAGGCCCCTGCCTCGGCATCTCCAGCAGCTGAAGAAGAAGCAGAGAAGGAGGTTGAGGTGCCTGCACCTAAACCGCAACCAGTAGTGAAGGAGTATATCCCTAAACTCCCCTTCCCTACTCGGTTGCACAAAGACAGGCTGGAGGCAGAGTTCGAGAGCTTCATGGCCATGCTTAGGAAGCTGAATGTCCAAGTACCCTTCCTGGAGGCACTTTCTCAAATGCCTAAGTATGCGAAGTTCCTGAAGGATCTTCTCTCAAAGAAGCAGAAGCTGAGCGAGCTGGCCACTGTGGAGCTTAACGAGGAGTGCTCGGCCATTCTGCAGAACAAGCTTCCGTAGAAGCAGAAGGACCCAGGTAGTTTTACTATCCCATGCTCTATAGCTAAATTGCATGTAGAGAGGTCCTTGGCGGATTTAGGTGCTAGTATCAATGTTATGCCATATAAACTGTTTAAGAAACTAGGCCTAGGTGAACCCCGTGCTACTAGGATGAGCCTTCAATTAGCTGACCGATCTGTAGTGCATCCTAGGGGCATAGTGGAAGACCTTCTGGTTAAGGTTGGCAAATTCAATTATCCTGTTGATTTTGTGATTTTGGACATAAATGAGGATGTGGATGTGCCACTGATACTGGGAAGGCCTTTCCTGGCCACCGCCAAGGCTCTCATAGATGTGCATGATGGGACCTTAGTTCTGAGGGATGGTGAGGAGCGAATAACGTTTTCAATTTCTAACACTCTTCCTGCTTCTTCGCCCTTGCATGCTGTTTCTCACCGGGAGCACGAGTCTGTCGTGTATCCTTCTGCGTTTCCTATTTTGCAGGATCCGCCTCCCATACCTTCGCCGCCACTCCCGTCCACTCCGTCATCGAAGGAACAGATCAAGGAGGAGTGGCGGCCGAAACTGCAGGCAGCTAAGCCTGCTCGAAAGAAAGCCGGAGACCACTATGAGCTGGTCCCGCCCCCACCTTGGCCATCCGAGTATTCACTCGCTTGCATCCTGCCGGATGGCCAAGTTGAGTTGGCAAATGCTGGTGGCCACATTCAGCGTGTGCATGGCCACCATTTGAAGCTGTACCTCAAGAACGAGGTGGATCCGCTCTTGAAGGCACCTGCTCCTTCACCTCACTGAGCATCCACCGACTGGCGTCCAGCTAAAAGACGGTAAAGAAGCGCTTGTGGGGAGGCAACCCCACCTAGGTTTGCATTTTCTTACCTTTTTTCCTTTTGATTTTTTGTGTTTTTTGAGTCTTGAGGGGTTGTTCACGAGTTGTATGTCGTTCTGGAGTGAAAACAGGTCAATTTCGGAGTTCTGGCAGCTCACACGGCCAGCCCTGAACGTCACACGGCCGTGTGGAAATTGGATTTGGCCGTGTGAGCTCTCGCAGAATTCCACACGGCCAGCTGTTACATTGACACGGCCGTGTGAAATTTCCCCCAGGCCGTGTTTGCTCTCGCATAAATTGGCACGGCCAAATGTGCACATGGCACGGCCGAGTGAAGATTCCTCGGCCAGCCCGTGTCGGCCGACACGGGCAATAGTGCTCTTGACACGGCCGTGTCTGTCAGGTCGTGTGCCGAGACTCGGCCTATAATTCGGCCGACACAGCCGAGTCCTCAGAAATTCAATTTCACTCGCCGGAAACCTCTCCCCCTCGCCGGAAAACCGCGACTTTTCGCCCTCCTTGTCGATTTTCGGCCATTTTTGGTCGGTTTTTCACAAATCCAACACCACACCCATCCTTTCCTCCCCATTATCGGCCTATCCCTCCATTTTGAGGTGATTTGGCTTGATTTTGAGTCGCCGGAGGCGATTTCCGGCGAGACTCCGGCGAGGCTCCGACGAGCACTTCCAGGCAGTTTTTCGGCATTTCGTCGCTTCCATTGCATTCCCCTCATCATCCCCTACACCTCTACTTGAGTCTCCAGGTTTGATTTTGACCTTAACTATGTTTTTCATAGAGAATTGGGTGTTAGGGTGCATGTTTAGAGAACCCCTTTGAATCGTGAGAATTTTGTGCAATTGATTGAGGGGAATGCTTGGATTATGTATGAATTGTGTTGGGCATTGTCCCTCTTGCTTGTTTGAGGCCTTGTGTGCAAGAATTTTGCCAATTCCATGTTTACCTTAATAGTGCACACAAGGTGTTCGATGAAATGTCTGTTTTCGTACCATTTTGTGGGGGTCAGTTGGGGCCCTTAATGATGTGCTTTGAGGGTGTGTTTGGTATGGATGTGAACCTTGAGTTGCCTACTTGTTCATGGATGTGCACCCCCACTCAGATTATGCTTGATTTATCGAGTTTTTGACCCCCGAACTATGGATGAAACCATGGTTAGGCTGTTTTCTGTTCTTAAGTGTGGGGTGTGATTAACATTTTCCTTGGCTGTTTTGGTTCCACTTTGGGCTGTTCTTTTGCAGGACCATGTCGAAGCCCAACCTCCGGCACCAGTTTGTTCAAGATTTGAGAAGGGGGCCCCACCAGGATCGTTTTAAGAACGTCCTGGCCTGCAAGTTTGGGCAACATCATTACTGGTCCAAGCGAGAGTTGGAGAAGCTGAACTGCTACGAGCACCTCTCCCCCGTTGTCACCAACCGCTACTGGTGCCGCCTACTCAGCATTCGCGAAAAGGTGTACCATGAGCTCGTGCTCGAGTTCTACACTACCTTCGAGCACGCAGCCACGGACGATTGGAAGGACGAAGAAGCCGTCCAGTTCTGGCTCGGCGGTGTACCACGATCCATGAGCTACGACGAGCTGGCGAATGCCCTCGGCCTCAACCTGGTCAATGACAGGGACTACCTCACCGAGAGCGCCGAGCCAGCGGGGGTGGACTTCGGGAGGCTGTACTTCAGCCTCGCTCGGCCACGTCAGCTTCCCTTCAAGGCGGGGAAGACGAAGGCCAGCACATTGCAGCTCGACAACCGTATCCTCCATCACATGCTGGCCAAGTCTTACACCCCCGCCTCAGACAGTGCCAGTGCCATCACCAAGAGAGCCATGTACTTCATCCAGTCCATGCGCCAGAGGGATCATCCCCTCCACTTGGGCTCGGTGGTGGTGAGGACCTTCGAGAAGAGTGCTTCTGAGCTGAAGAAACTTCACTGCACCCCCCTCATCACCCGCCTGGCAGACTACTTCCAGATGGGTGCATAGAGCAGGGAGAGACCACTCCCTTTGGCCGGTTTACGATCAACAAAATGCACCTGCTTCGAGAAGAGCGAGGTGTCATGTGGATCGAGAGGTTTCCTCAACCTCAGATCCCAGCGGCAGTCCAGCCGGAGGCTCCCGAGGGTGCGGCTGATGAGGAGGTCTAGCCGGAGGATGTGGATGATACTGCTACTGCCCGCCCCACCACCTTCGAGTACGGGGGTGGCAGTTCCAGCTTCCCCAGCCAGGATTACTTCTCTCAGCAGTTCGAGCAGCTGCGTCTCCAGAATCTGCAGCTCTACGACTATCAGATGCAGTTTCAGCAGCAGTACTCGGCTCACCATGCCGAGTACCAGACCAGGATGGCAGCGTATGATGAGCGCCTGGACAGGATGGAGACCCAGCAGTGGATAGCCTTGGCGCGCATCGAGAGGGAGCAGGCCCAAGCTAGGCACATGCAAGAGGTTCAGGGGCATCTGCTCCAGCTGCTACCGGGCGAGCAGCCCGTCTGGAGGACTCCCTGGGAGGACTCCTCACTTCCACCTCCACCCGCTGATGACGATGATGCATTCATGAATGACATCGATCTGGACAACCTCGGCGACGAGTAGGCTGTACTTGTCGCCCCCCTCAGTGTTTGTTTTTATTTTTGTTTGAGACTTTTTTCTATTTGCTCCATGTGTTGAGGAGCTTGAACTTAGTTTGTCGTGTGTTTTGTTTCTTTTCTTTTGTGGATTGTTTCTTTTGTGGCCATCTGGGCCTACTCTGATCCCTAACGAACATGTGCTAGTGTGTTCTTGATGTTCCCTTAGTGCAAAACTGTCCGTTCATTCCATATGTCTCACGTTGATTGGTCCGCTTCCAGTCCCCCGCAGCATTTCGATCCGGTAACATCGTTCCCTTCTATATCCCTCTGCTCCATTGAGGGCAATGTCGTGCTTAAGTGTGGGGGGTGCTTTGTATCGGTTGGAATGTATATATGTGTGCTTGGAGCCTAGTCCACTGTCCAAATCTCGAGATTTGAGGGCTCCAAGTACGGCTGTTTGATCATATTGGCACTGTGTTGATTGGTGAATTGAATGGTTTTCGGATTAATGCATGACAACTGGATGGTGACTAGGACAACCTATAATGATGACTGAGACGTGCAGTAGAATTGTGTAGGGTTCAGTTTTTCAACTGTTTGCTTACCAACTGTGACTTGGATTGATTACTTGTTCTTGACAGTCTCTTATGGCATCTAGTTCAGGGAATCAGAATGAGAGATAGAGCATATAGGTAGCCATGTGAGATTTGAGCCTGCTCGTTTCTTTCTTGTGCGATAGTTCCCTCTTCCATGATGTGTAGCATTCACGTTGTCATTAGCTAAGATGATGGAGGCATAGGATTAGCCCACGACCAAATTGACTGTCCTGGTGTGTCATAACCCCTAGTCAGCCCCTTTGAGCCGTGTGTTATCCTTTCTTTCGGTCTTCAATGAAAAGTCACCCTTTTGCATCTTTTAGAAGGTTCCACAGAGTGATTTTTACATGTTCTCTGCTGTTTCTGCTAAATATAATGTGAGAGTGGGAGGTAGTTCTTAAAAAGTTGGGCAGGTGTTTGAAAATATGCAGAGGTGGTGGTTCTCTTGAGAAATGAAAGAAAAACAAAGAAAAAATGAAAGCAAAAGAGAGCCACCACCAAAAATCTGAATAGTGCCCATTAAGTAGTGTTTCTTAGCAGTCTGGCTTAGAAACACTGGTATTTATGTGACATCCTTCGCTCTTGTGCTCTGAATTTGAGTAATGCAGAATAGCAGAAAGAAAGTACTGGTTTGATTGACTGTGAGTTTGTTGGGTTTGGAATTGTGGAACCTTGTGCTATGAATACTTCCACCACCTAAAAGGCCTTTACCCCATGTCCAAGACCCTAGCCAGTCATTTGAACATGTGTCTAAGAACTCCTGATTAGTTAGTGATGACAACCATTTATGTGAACTCTAACCTGTAGAGGCTGCCGTCATGGTGAAGAGATGTTAGGAATTGAGAGAATTAGTATGCGCATTTTTCGCATCAAATTGTCCTGACCCCACTGGTCGAGAGTGAGCGATTCATTTCCTTGTTCTTTACACTCTTTACCCGGTGAGGACTTAGATTGCTCGGTCTCTATTCTGATATCTTGAGTTTTATGCATGAGTTGACTGTCTTGAGTAAGTGGTTGAGTCAAGTCTAGGTTGGTTGATGAACAGAAGGGAGACTCCTCCTTTACTCGATTTTGCTGCACTCGAATGTCTTCTGTGGTGGTTGTCCAGGTTGCTATTAAGGTTGTTCATGTGTTGATGTTTGAAAACCAGTATGATTCCCGTGTTTCTGTGCCTATATGATTTGTCCCCAATGTTGGTTGATTGAAATATGCGAGCTTACCTTGTGTCTGACTTGGTTTGCTTGGGGACAAGCAAACGGTTAAGTGTGGGGGAGTTTGATAAGCCGTTAATTGCACACGTTTTTACCCCTATTCTGGAGCCGTTTGGGATGGTAATTCTCGTGTTTTAGGCCGATTTCACGCTAGGTTGTGTTTGTTTGTGATATTTCAGGTCCTAGCAAGTGAATGAAGGTTTAGGAGCGAGTTCGGGGTCGATTGGACGAAGATCTGGCGCGAGGCAAGTCGAAAAGGAAGCCACACGGGCACACCCACAACTCACACGGCCATGCAAGTGACCACTTTGGCCGTGTGAGATTGTGCGAGCCTTCACACGGCTTGCCCTGATATCCACACGGCCGTGTGAAGGAGTGGTTTGGCCGTGTGGAATTATGCGAGGCTTCACACGGCCAGGCAGGGTGATCCACACGGCCGTGTGACCCTGGCCGTGTAGGAAGCCTGAAGTGCAACTAATCGAGACGCACCGTTTTGAAGTCACACGGGCAACTGGGAATGCCACACGGCCGTGTGGCCCTGCCCATGTGAGTCGGGAATTCATGGTTTTAACCCAATTTCGGGCTGCAAGAGAGAGAATCGGACTTTTTGAGCAAAAACAGAGCCCTAGAGAGAGAAATTATGAAGAACACATCCTAGAAGCTATCTTGGAACTGGGTTTCATCAAATCGAGCTTGGAGATCGTCATAGGAGTGGAAATCATCATCCCAGAGCAGATTCTTCCCATTGTAATGAGTATGACTGCTTTGTACCTTGTTTTCCTCTCTCTCTATGGAGTAGAACCTCTCTCTCACTTGGGGATGAAGAACCCTAGTTCTATGTGTTAGGGATTGATTGTAATGACTTGGGATGATATTACTGTTTGATTTTAATCGAATGATGCATGTTTATTGAGTCAATTGAAGTCTGATCAACTTTTTCCTTATTCCTGCTGCAATCTGAGATAGATAGAATCTGATTAGGTTGCTAGAGTCTCATCATTCGGTAGTAGGAGATTGGCTATACGAGAGTTAGCCAGTTTACTGCTTTGTACTGGAATCCAATTCCAGTAGTGGAGTTCTGTTCTTACTGCTTCAGCCTTCTATCCCGGTGAAGACTAGTCGTCTGCCGGGTAGTTAGACTGAGAGGGCTTGGTCAGCTTAAGAGATTCCAAGCTACTGTCGGATCTTCAGCAGTCTAATCAACAGTAAATCAACCCAGGGATATACAATTGAAACCTAACTAAGGAAATAGGGGGACTCATTCCCGAGTGACTCTTACCTGCTTGAGAAAACCGTACCAATTCCTGCTTTCTTTCTGCTTTTGCTTTTAAACAACAAACACTTAACTTAGTTGGCTAGATAATAGATAATCACTGAGTAAGCAGTAGATCTAGACCCCGGGTTGATAATAGAACTTGCCACTTTACTGCATTCCCGGTCTGCGATTACACTTGGTCGCATATTGGTGTTGTGTTTTGGAGCATCAGGCAACTCACTTTATAGCCCGGTAACCCGTCATGCCCTATTTAGGTTCCCAAACAATTAAGGGATTTGATTTTGTTGCTTGGTTACAGTATCACATGCCCATTTAGTTATTGCTCTTAGGGGTGTACATGGGTCGGGTGGTTCGGATTTACTCATTTTAATCACTCGTTCCTTACACTATGGTTTTGAAAATACTAAACTCAAACTCACACAAAAAATAAGAACCCTATGGTTTGTTTATAATCGGATTGGGCGGGTGGATGATACTTCCAAGTAAAAACTCAACCCAACACAAAAATGAAACTATTTTACACTACAGAAAATATTGGATAACGAATTAAAATTTCAAACAACTAAACCGAGTTGAAAAGTATCCAAATGTATAGATGTTATTTGGATTTTAAAGAAATGCAATGAGCTTCAACATATGTCTAGTTTTACCCACAAATATTTGTCGAAAGAAGCTAGAAATGTTATAAGCAACTCATCCATAGTATGTTGTTCTTCTAATATTGTAGCAAAAATATTATTTGTACCATAGCCCATATTAAATCACGTCTAAATTTTAAATTGAAGAATGCATTAGGTTAGGGAGACAACAAGAGAAAAATATAATAAAATATCTTAATTTTTTAAAAAACATACTTATATTACGACACAAATATGTTTTGGATACAAACACTTATGACAATAGTTGGAACACGAATTGGATCGAGTTCTACGAGTTGCGTAACCCAAATTCCGCACCCAAACCAAAAGAAACAGATTGTACAAAATAAAACTTCATCCAACAAGTAACCTTAATACTAGCGACAAATACAAATGCATTGGGTCAAATTGGACATATGAGTTGGTTTGCAAGTCTTTTTGTTCACCACTACTTGCTCTGAATAGTGCTCGGCAGCTCACACCGGCTTTATTTGTGCTATTCTAATCACTAGCTTATAACCCGGCCCTTTGGCCGGAATGCTCATATTTGATTATTTGTATTTTTATGTTACTTTTAAGTCTATTAACCCGTTTAATCTTATTGATAATCATTCGATCGAAGATGATACATAAAGAAATAATATATAGGTCGAACATTCGGAGAAATATCATAATCATTTAAGAATATAAAATATAAAAATGTATCATTGACCCCATTTTCATAATGCTAATTAAGTCCCTGTTAAAATGCTATTGGTTAGTTTTCTTTGACAGTCAAGAAATATAGAGTATAAAAGCTCACTGAAATTCTCACACAACCCATAGATAGTTTGAAACTAAATCTTAAACCTCACAATCCTATATAAAGGGTTCAATGCTCTCCTTTTAGAAACAATATGTCACTACTCAAAAAGAAATGAAGAGTTGTTGATTCAAGTCATCTATATACTAAAACTTCAGCTAAGAGAGGACCATCACAACTTGAGAGCAAACGAAAAAATCAGGGTTATCTCCAATATACAAATAGACTCGATCAAAGTATTAAGGAGCAAAATTAGACACTCATTATCTATTAGTTCCAGTAGGTTGAATAAAGAAGCGACCTATTTCAAACAATCAATCAATGATTCCTCGTTTTAAGATAGAAATAAGTTATGACAGTTGCAAAAACCATAAACCTAAAGATCCAATAGCCACCACTCTCCGTTGTACAACCAAATTTCTATCTCAAGAGGCATATATTCAACCAAAAATTCAATTTCTAATCTTCCTTCTACAACTTCAGTTATTGATGAACTCCATTCTATTCGCCATGAATTGATATCGGAGTTGAAATCTTCTACTCGCCCAGCTTAAAATCCCCAACAATAAAACCGTAGTGCCAAGAGATACCTGAAGATTGATTTTCAATGACAGTCCTGTACTGGGAAGTGAAAGGCGCAAACTATTGCACGATGGATGAAATTTTGGAGGAAGTTAGAAAGAGAAAAGAACAAAGATAAAAAAAAAACACAAAATTTAAATTGAAAAATGCAAGGATACAACAGTAGTTACATAATTAGTTTCTTCCATGTTGGCCAATTACCCATTTATCTTTAGCAAAAATTAAGGAGAGATCGAGAATTTAAAATTGAGAAAATTACATGGAACTCTACTATGAAAATAGAAGTATCAAGCTCGATAAAAATACATACGATAGACTTACTGAGCTTGCTAATTATGATGAAAAAGTCCTCTGATTTTCAGAGATTAACTTTGTCTATTTTTTGTATAAAAATGGATGCATTAAATTTGTTTAGTGTAACTGGTTGTGATTGTTATCTTTATTTGAAGAGACCCGAGTTCAAATCTTGATATTGTTATTTTTATATGAAATAAATAATAAATGTGTAAAGACAAAAATGACCTTCCTACTTTCACTGGAGAAAAATACATAAAACTCTACCATATATTAATGGAGGAATTGTTTGTGGGATAGAATGTTAAAAAAATCGCCATCCCTGAAATGAGAATCAACAACAACAAATATCCTGTGATCCCTCATATGTCTCTAGTTGCTGTCCCGCTCCCGCTAAAACGACACTTGTGTTGTTCCCTGCCCTTCTACCCCCACTGTCCTAACTTCCTAACTCCCAATTTTTTTTTCCCCGTCTGCTTCATGACTTGTCCCCTACCACCACAAAAAAAAACAACTTCTCATAGTATCAGATTATGGGATGCCCTGCTCCATACTATATTTTACTATATACGCTAATCATGGGGCGTTCTAATTACTTGTCCAAATTCCCATCAAAGATAATGTTTTTTGGACTATTCTAAATATGTGGTAAATTAAGTTAAGGCTCTCAAGCTTAATTAGAGTGGCCAACCAAATTTAACTGAAGAGGAGAGGGAGAAGAAATAGAAAGGGATGATTAAGAAGGTTGTAGTTGTAGTTTAGGTGATTAAGGACTCGTAATGATTTTTAAGGTATGAATTTGGTGTTCCATTGAGAGCCCTGTAAGTTCATAACACATTACTTGGGTTGTGTCATTGTGATTATAAAAGAGAGCGAGATTAAATCGTTTCTAATGAGTGAAAGTGTATTATCATTTCGTGAAAAGAGAATTTTTATTGAAAGTTGGCTCAAATTCACCAAATTCAGCTTGTTTAAGCAACATACTTTTCACAATACTAGTAAAAATATTGTAGATTTATTTTGCATTTTCAAAACACATAATTTTAAATCCTAATAATAAATGGCATGTAACTGACAATTAATCTTATTTCCACCGTATCAATATTATGATGTATGACTCAAAATGTTAGTTCAATCTATTTTTGGTTGCTCCCTTATTGGTGTAATTGGTTGGACATTGGATGATTTATTTGATTGACGAATGACGACACATAACCATAGATTTAATTCTCATTCATCGAGAACAAAACAAAGATATGATGATTACCCACCTAAAGCAACGAAATAAATTGGCTTCATTTCCGTACCTTTTTCTCCCTTTTCTAGGGCCATTTCTTACTTTGTTTTCTGTCTCCCCCGGAAAGGAAGAGCTTCCACTTCAGATTTCACCTCTCCTCTTCCGAAAGAAAAATATCACAAACCAAAAAGCTCCCCTCCCTTCTGTTCACCAACAGTGATCACAGTAAGCTCCGAATTCCCGGCGCACTATTCACGATTACGCCTCTCTTTCTCTCGGCCCTCCACATTCCTTTTCCTCGTGAGAAGCTTCTCTCGCGAGTTCCGTTCTTTGCGCGTGAACGGAAACGGGCACGCGTTCGGCACTCCGTCGGCGGGAGCGATGGCGGCGGAATGTTGAGTAAATCGACGATGGCGGTAGTAGCGTTAGGGTTAAGAATAGATGGGAGTCGGAATGGCCAAGGAGGCGTCGAGGTTTATTAGCTCGATACCGCCGGCTAACCTGGCGCTTTTACAGCAACCGAACGGTAAAGTGAGCACCACAGGCGGCGGAGGAGGAAAGGTTCAGAGTGTTCTTCATCAGCAGCAGCAGCAGCATAATGAGTGGTGCTGGTGGCGAGGGAGGTGGAGATCCTCGGCCGCACAGGGACTGATGCAGCGGAGGAAGATCCCGTGGTCGTTAATCTGCGGCTTGATGCTGTTCGCGCTCGGGATGGTTTCGCTCTTCACTGGACACATGGCCTCTGATCTCGAGTGGTACTCTCAGCGACTTGTAAAGCGTAGCCTCTACTCCAGATTCGTAAGCTCTGCTTTCTCTAAAACATTTCTCTGAATTGCGCTTCTCTGTCAGTCTTGAGAATTGTGGAATTACAGTAATCAGGAAGAAGCAAACCAAATTTGCTCTTGTGAACGTTTCTGGTAGCTGTCGTTTTTCTTAGTTTTGTCGCCACTGATGAGGACATTGATTCGATTGATTTTGTAGAGTGTTATTCGACGAGAGCCTATCGATATTTGGAGATCTAAGTACTCGAAAATGTTCTATGGATGCAGTGAAAGAGGCCGTAAATATGCTCGTAAGTTCGCTTTCCCTTCATTTTGCATACCGTAAATGCATAGAGAGGACCTGTTTCAAGCTCAAGAGACTGACATGGATTGGTTTAGGGCTAAAATGGATGATTCGTTCCGTTTGTTTTGTGAAGTTTTGATGAATTCAAACTCCTAAATATTGCTGTGTGTTTACCTGTAGCTGCCACATCTGAACGGAAATCAAATGGATATCTTCTTATAGCAGCAAGTGGAGGACTAAATCAAGAAAGAACAGGAGTAAGTGAAAATTGTTGATTTCATTGCAATGTTATCAAGGAAATTTGGCAGAAGCAGTCTTAATCAGATAGTTCTTATCAAAATCGAGCAGTCATGTTGTTCATTATTCTTTTAAACTTCGTTTGACTGATGAATTGCACTGTATACTTTTGGACTTCTTAGATGCTGCTGTGAAAGTTCATATTATTGTAGTTCCAACCAAGCAGACCATTGCTGAGTGCTGACTTAGACTTTTTCTCTTTCCAGATAACCGATGCTGTAGTTGTGGCGAGGTTTCTTAATGCTACATTAGTTGTTCCTGAATTGGATCACCATTCTTATTGGAAAGATGATAGGTGAGTTTGTAATTGAGTTATCCTTGTATTACAGTTTTAATTATTGGCTGCCTGCTCTATGATTATACACTAACGCATTACTTGATGTGCAGTGATTTTGTTGATATATTCGATGTTGATTGGTTCATCTCGTACCTTACAAAAGATGTCACAATTGTTAAAAGAGTTCCAGATAAAGTTATGCGATCAATGGATAAGCCTCCATATACAATGCGGGTACCCAGAAAGTCCCCACCCGAATATTATATGGACCAAGTTTTACCTATATTATTAAGGAGACAAGTAAGCTAACTCATTGACTGTTGAGATGATGATTTTTATAGTACATTTTTTTTTTATATTCATGCCAATGATGCCTGGAGCAATTTGTGGAAATGTTTGCAGGTTGTGCAGTTGACAAAGTTTGATTATAGGCTTGGCTATGAGCTTGATGAAGAATTGCAGAAGTTGCGGTGTCGTGTTAACTATCATGCTCTGAGATTCACAAAGCCAATACGTGAAGTTGGCCAAAAGATTGTTATGAAAATGAAAACAATGGCTACACGTTTCATTGCTATTCACTTGAGGTTTGTTCGTGGAATCCCTTGGCATGTCTAAGAATCTCTGTTATCAATTGTTGCTTGTCTAGTTTCCAAGCGTTACATGAATCTCTATCTGTTATCAATTGTTCGTGGCAATCAAACAATTATTGTTAAGAGTTTTAGATCTTTAGCATGATAACCAACCTCCCATCCTTAATCAGTTGCTGATGGCGAGAAATTCAGGATCACTTCAATTTCTTATTTCTGGAACTTTAACTTGAGTATGAGTAGGGTCATTCCGACTTTAGAAAGTCTGACAAGATTGGAGATCTCTTTTCACCAATTGGAAACTGTCAGCTTACATAATATGCCAACATTCTATGAGGTGGTTGGGTAACAGCCATTTCAAGTTCTTCTTTATTTATTTATCGTTTGCTATATGCCAATGCCATGAGTAATTGAATGAGCCACATGCATAACTAATAGTTGTACTTCTGCATGCACTCTTTGATGGTTGCCTAACCACTTTTGTTTATAGATTTGAACCTGATATGCTTGCCTTTTCTGGATGCTACTTTGGAGGTGGTGACAAAGAAAGATTTGAGCTGAGTCAAATAAGAAAAAGATGGGACACATTGCCGGTGAGATTGCTGTTTTTATTTAACAGATCAGTTAGCAGGACATAGTTCTGTGCTACTTTGAAGATCATATTGGACATTGTTCGTTGGAAAATTTGACATAATAGTGACTGCATTGGTCGCGGATGTTCTGATTTGTTAGCAATGATACTTTAAATGATTCAGGATCTAAGTCCTGAAGACGAGAGGGCGAGAGGGAAATGTCCACTCACTCCTCATGAAGTAGGATTGATGCTTCGTGCATTGGGCTTTGCTAATGACACATACCTCTATGTTGCATCTGGAGAAATATACGGAGGAGAAGAAACCCTGCGACCCCTTAAAGAACTGTTCCCGAACTTTTACACCAAGGAGATGCTTGCGGACCAAGATCTGAAACCTTTACTTCCTTACTCTTCCCGCTTGGCTGCTGTGGACTACATTGTCTGCGACGAGAGTGATGTCTTTGTCACAAACAACAACGGAAACATGGCTAAGATTCTTGCTGGGCGAAGGTAAGTAATGTGGTCAGCTTTTCTCTCATCTGCTTATCTTGTGTATTCTAATTTTATTAACACACACCCATGATGCTTTAAATCAAGTAGGGTGTCCTGCAGCAAAAGGTTGTTGTGGAACTATTCCTATGATTCTCTCATTGACACAATCTGATGATTGTTGTTTTCTTTCTTTTGAATAATCTGAATCACAGGAGGTACGCAGGTCACAAGAGGACTATTCGCCCGAATGCTAAAAGGCTGAGCGCATTGTTCCTGAAAAGACAGAAAATGGATTGGGAAACCTTCTCCAAAAAGGTAAAGTCATGCCAGAGAGGGTTCATGGGAGAACCAGATGACGCAAAACCTAGTAAGAGCGAGTTTCATGAACACCCTGCTTCTTGTATCTGCGAGAAGCCATTCACCGAGGACGGTAACTTCAAGGAAGAGCCTACTTACTCACAGAACCGGTCGTCTCTCAACCCAAACGCACGACCGCAGAAATAACGGGAATCTGTCTTCAAGAGATGCTAAGGATGATATTGAAGGAAGATCTGATGCTGATGAAATGACACGGCAGGAGTAGCAAACTGTTTTTTGCCAAGACACTTATGATTCCCACATTCCAACTCGACATACAGACGACTGTCGTTACCAGCGAGAACTCATTCTCGTCACCATGAGCAAGAGACTACCTACTGAAGAGGCTGTCATGGTCTTCCTCTTCTGCTGGTGCTTAGCTTCTGTAGACACATTAGAACCTCAAAGGATGATTGGTTGTACAGGAGAAGACTTTCAGTGAGTTGCAACTGTTCATAAAATTAGCTTTTGGTAGGCAAAACGTTGTGACGCTTGCTACAAAGATTGAAGTTAGTGGTTTATTTTTGGGGTTCTCTTCGGAAGTGAAGGATTAGTTAGGAGGCACTGTTCATATATGCTCTTCTGCTTGAGAAATGCCTCATCAAAGATGTGTTCCTCATTGTACCTTCTATGCTTAAATCAGCCATATATATTGGTTTCGCCAACTGGGTGCTCGGTGTGTCGCCAAATCGTTATTGGTAGAAGCGTTGTGCGAGTTGCCGAATACGCCCAAGCTACTCCTACAAGGACATTTCTCACATACAAAAGCACACTATTAACGAGCGAGGCAACAGCAGCCTAAACCTAGTCAAATCGTTAATCTGAGATATGAACATCCTATCCTAACTCCCCACCACCACCAAAACCAAAGCACTTAATATCTTTACATAACTTACTTAACAAAGGGAGAGCAAGAATTCTCTACCTTACAACCTTTCTTCCTTCCTAATCATATATAGAGTATACACAACAGGCTACAAATTTCTATTCATTTCCAACTCCCCCTCCTTTATGCTTCAGCTGAGTCTCCATGTTCCGCAAGTAGAGTCGCCAACTGCGGCTTTATTTCCACCTATTCCATAGCAAGAGAGGTTTCAACCATTGTTATTCCCTGCACCCCAACCATACCAATCGAAGTAAGTTCGAGAACTTTCAAATCTCAAAGCTGAGTGAAGTAAGCAGCTTCACCTCTGGCAGCAGGCCTACTTTTGTGGCTCTTATCATGTGACACAGATGGTATTTTCGAGACCATCAGCGAGCTTTGCAGCCCTTCCAGCAGCTGTAGGCATAAAGTACGAAGGATGAGTCAAATTCGACATTTTTGGCATTGAATTAGAAAGTAAAAAAAACTTGTTAAAGAAAGAAATCAAGTGCATACTCTTGATGTTGGCTGAATTCGTCGGTTGGACCTACGAGGAGCCTCAGCGCCAGAGGTTTCATCTCCTAAACTAGCACTGGCCAAAGCTTTTCTCTCCTCCACTTTGCCCAACTTACCCACACCTATGCCAAATTTACCTTTACTTCCCCTTTCACCTCTCGCATTTACTGTTGACGGTTTCTTAGTTGCAACAGGACCCGGTTGTCGAATAGAAGAAAACACGACCGGAGCCCTCGGCGTCTCCTCGGAGCTAGAAAAGGCTCGGAAATCAATGGAACTCTGTTTTACAGCCCCACTCGAACCTTCTCTGCTCGCCGTAGAATTCTTTGTCTTTGCATTGGGATCTGTAAATGCAGCTACAGTAGCATAACCAGAGGTAGCAGAACCTTGGGCTTGGGGATGACTGCTCGTTTTCCCAGGCAGCTTCGGAACCCTGGGCTTGGGCATGACCGATCTTTTCTCGGCGGTGTCAGTTCTCGAAGTAGTACCACCTCTCCATCGGGGAAATTTTGATGATGGATCATTAGTTTCGTCTGCCATTTTACCACCACGTGATCCTCCAACATAATGCTTGCTCACTTCCATGAACTTCCTTTTCTTTCCTGGCTTTGGGACACCAAACAAGACCTTTGATCCTTTGGCCTGCAAACCGGTTCGAGCCATTCTACTAGCATCTCCAGTGCTCTTGCCCATGTTGAATATCTTTTGTTCAGATGCCAAATCCAGTAATGTCGGCTCAGCAAGTTTAGCAGACTCTTTGTTGATGTTTGCATTCTCGGGTACTTTGTCCATGTCTTTTGATTCTACTGCAGGGCTCCATATTCTTGGTCGTTTCTCTTGCGGCGTATCTCCCTGCAAGATAGAGTAGCTAGTCAGCTTCGTACACTAGCTAGAAAAGAAGTGGTAGCAAGAAACAAATAAGTAGAGTGAACCAGGACCAGATGGGAAGGCACATTCTTCTCTCTTGAATTGGAGCATTCGATCCACTGCCCATCAGTCCATAGAAGAGAAGGCCGAAGATGCCATGCTCGTAGTACTGCTGTTTCTCCTTGCACTGTAGCCAAGAGCAGAGCAAGTTTGTTAATGAACAATATGCTTTACTATGACTATGATAAAGCGAATGACAATCTTGGTAAGGAGAAATTTTACAATGCTATATAGTATTGGTGCTATAGGATTTTGCCTTTATGGTACAACTTAAAATTGTACATTTACGTTATGGTACAACTTTAGATTGTACCTATACTTTTTGTACAAATTCTTTTATGGTACAACTTGAACTTGTACCTTTATGTGATGGTACAATTTCAAGTTGTAAAGTTGTACCATAACATAATGATACAAATTGCTTTATGGTACAACCTAAACTTATACATTTAATGTTATGGTACAACTTTAAGTTGTACATTAAAGCACCAATACTATATAGCATAATAGAAGTGCTCTCTTGGTAAGTGGTTCTATAAATCCATACCTGGGAAATAAACCGTTAATGTATTGTCATCTTTCTTCTTTTCCGTGACAACCCCTTCCCACCAACTGAAAGGGCATCAAAGAACGAAATCGACATTACAATCATAAAACGAAAAAAGTGTTCAGTTGACAATTTATTAGTTCTGGAACCAAACTATTAATAGGAATACTACTAGATCGACAAGAAATGGAACTATGTCTGTTCCTCATTGACGATTGACACAGTCAAAATTCGAACAACACAGCTGAAATATTTGCAAAGCCTGCAGCTGTGAGATATGCACTAAGATTCTACAAATTACGTTCACTAATGAGCATGTATCGCGTTAGCATGGTACATTATTACCTTTCTTGCATCCATGCATCCACTCTGTCACCAACTGACCAGTTATAGTCATTTATGGCAGCTCTACGCCTCTTTTTAGTTCCTTCAAATGACATGGTGGTAAGAGGACGAGAGATGCGTATTTTTGGTGCCTCGGCTCCTTCACCACCAATGGCTACCCACTCCTTCAGTTTCTCTGACCCTGTCACAAAGGAACTCTTGAGGGATGTAGCAAGAGTAAAAGACATAATACACGCATGTATAATCTTGCCCAAAAGTTCTCTGCCAAAAGCTGATTATTACTACCCTCATGGATGAACATGCTAACATTCTATAACCCATATAAAATTCACAGCAGATTTTATGCAAAAACATCAAAATTCCCCAAGCACCACTGGAGATGCTTGACTCAGCAATTCAGGCACCTCAAAATTCACTAAGATCTAGTTTCCCATGGATTAGGTGTGTTATAGGCCCATGCACACTTATACAAGAACAACGGATCTTGAGTGGATGCATATAAATTTAAAGTCTTCAACATATATGCAATTAATTTGCTAGAAGAGTAAAACAAAGAGATAATTGTCTTCCAGTTATCCCCTTTAAAGTGATAAAAGAGCACATGCAACTTGCTCAAAAAGGCATAATATAATATCATTAAAGACAATAACTCACCTTCCCCTAATGTAAGATCGTTATAACTCACATAAGCCATTCCATCCCCGAAGTTTAAAACTTTTGCTACGAACCAGGCAGCTTTAAACCTATCACCATCCCTCAAGATCTGCATGAAGAAGCAGAAGATAATTACTCAATAACAACTTCAAGAGGAAGCAGTTGAATGGTGCATTATCTAAAATCGAAGTTATATGAAGTCAACTAATGTGATAACAATAACGTTGCCGAACCTCTACAGAAGACCCCTCTCTGATGCCAGTTCCTTCTGAAGTCCCAACTGCTTCTACTTGTTCAATTTCAGTATTGGTAGGAGATTTAGATCTACTTCCATCTTCCAAAACCACTTCCAAGGTTCTAGCGGTCTCAGAAGGTTTGGGAGATTGGAGTCCCTTGGCACCCTTAACACCAGTAGCAACATGTGAGTGTACATGGTCGTCACTAGACATCTCTCCCGGAGCAATTGATGATTTCTCATGGCTAATAGAAGCATCGCAAATTGCTCCACCACCATCACCACTCAAATTTCCAGCACAGACCTCATTTGATTTAGAAACAAGTTGAGGAGAAACTTCAGGAACTTTCCAGAAACCCTCGGGGCCTGCTGCTACTAACTCGCTCAAGGGCGAAGGATCACCCATATCTATGATTTTGCCAGCCTGAGAAACAGCTTCCGCAGCCAACTCTGCAGCTCTGATAATGGCATCCATATTCTCAGCCCGTTTTGATGCAGCAGATGCAGCTTCAACCCTCTTTCTAGCAGTCTCCCTTGCAGCAAAAATAATTGAACTGGAGCTACACATTCCATTGTCACGCTTCAATATGGATGCTGGAGTTGCATTTCCCATGTCATTAGAGAATGAGATCAAAGAGCTCTGACCATTATAAGCCCCAGAGGCAGCAGCTTCATCTGCCATTAGCCTAGCTTGCAGCGCGGCATTTGCTGCAACGTTAGCAGCCGCAGCTGCAGCTTTGGCAACAGCCGCAGCAGCAGCTATTGCAACAGCTGCAGAAGCCAGCTTTGCTTCGACATCAGGTGACAAGCCTGCATCTCTTTGCTTATCTAATTTACTCCATACTAGTTGGCTTTGACTAACAGCAGTAGCAGCAAAGGCAGCAGCATCCTCTGCATGCGCTCTAGCCTCTTTCACTTTACCAAGGGCCTCATCTGAAGAATTAGCCCTTTGCTCCACTATAGGGTTTTCTTTTCTAAAATTGGTAGTCAAAGGGGATGGAAATGCAGCGACCACTTCGGCAGGAGCTTTAGACACAGAGTCAACTGGGGTTATGATAGAAACAGATGTGGATAGATGACAGGAAACTGCTGCAGCAGTAATTAGTTGTCTTGGAGGTTCGTGATGTAAACCTCTATCCACATTGTCCTCAAGCGCCGAAGGCTTCTTCCTTCTTCTAGGCTTTGGAGCAGTAGACTGCTGACTTGACGTTATTGCCTTACCAACATCAGGAATGGAAGAATTAGGAAACACATTACCAAAAGGATCAGTGGGAGATGCTACAGTAGAAACATGCTTTACCGCAGAGGTATGGGACACTGATGAATCTTTTACAGGAGTCAAGTGAACCGGCTCGATATGAGGCATCTGTACAGGGAAACGACTACCAGTCTCGACTGCAGATGTTTGAGGAGAAGTGATCCAGGCACCGAACGGACCCTGAGAGACCCAAGGAGCGCTATGTGCTACCAGATTACTCATGGATGGGGTCTGATGAGGATGCAATGGAGAAAGTGCCCTCTGGAATTCCAGAATAGGACCCCTTGCTATGCTACTTGATTGCAAGTGATCCATGGAAGGAGTTGCCACATTCCAAAGTGGTGATGAAAGAGGTAGCATTGGGCTTGTAATTGCTGAGGCAGTTGCTTTACTGCTGGATCTACCACCAGTGGCCTTGCCTTTAGGTGTGCTTTGTTTACTAGTTTGTTCAGGAGCTCTCACACCTGCAGTTTCAGAAACAGATTACTTAAAATGGTCACCGAATGAAAGGAACAATATGTATATAAGTTCCAAAGCAATGAAGGTACCAGAGTAAGACTGCACAGGGGTCTCAGGAGTGCTGAGATGAGATCTTTGAGCATTAAATCTTTCAACACACAAGCGCCAGTTTTTCTCCCAAGCCATCTTACCACCATCTGCAATCATAAACCAGTAGAAAATTCATTCAATTCTATCTTAGGGGAATATGTGACGGAGAAGCTTCTCAACGGGAAAACTAACCAGCTCCTCCAAATGCAGATATCATATATGCCTCCTCTGGAGCTGTTCCTTTACTGCATCAACAGTTGCAAGGATAACCACAATATTAATCACTTAAATCAGTTATTAATTTTGTTTTAAACTCATCTTGGTTTCTCCAATTTATTCACTTTGGTAGGTGTTAACATGCTGAGGGAGCTGCAGAATGTGTAAATTTATGAACATTAAGCCTTGAGTTTTCTCACTGTTTGTAAGGAAATATCATAGAGAAGAACCCACATCAAATCTCCATATACGATGATTTGAGCACGCAATTGAACTTGTTGCATATCTGTGAATGGTTGTTGAAACAATGTGGTAGTGGCTGAAGAATTCAAATCTGGCAGACCAGGCATTGATACCCCAACAAATGGTTTAACACCACTGGTATCTACATGCCCAAAAAGCTGCATCTCATTGGAGTATACTTGATGACCAAGACCAGGTGAACCTGGAGGAATATTTGCATTGTTACCCCGTTCCACCTTCGCAGGTGCTGTCGCCTTTGTGGTCTTTCCTCTTTTAGCAGAGTCCTTACCAGTTGCCCTACTACGCCTTGGCTTACGCTCAGAATTTACTTTTTGGGCACTTTGTCGAACGGTTATGTCAGAAACCTTAGGACTCTGATGAGAGAGATCTTGAACAATCTTGGCATCTAATTGGCCCAAACCAGAAGTTGAGGAGGGAGACCCATCCATAGGCTTAAAAAATAAAAACAGTCAAACGAGACTACTTGGATCAGAGTTCACAGAAAAATATGATACTACTATGGAACGGATCATATTATATTTTCAGAAAAATGACAATATCATAACACACATCAGAATGGAAACTTCAGAATTATGATGGCCCAAAAGGATCCTTTACCGTGGGTACTTTCCTCTTGTCCGCTGTCTGCTCGCCCGGCATTTTCTTAGCACTTTCTGTTTGAGGCAATTCTGTAAATAGAGGGACCTGGATAGGCTTACAAAATCAAGAATAAAAAAGAAGGAAAGATCAGAGGTCACAGAAAAACTGCTATACTACTATGGAATGACTGATAAAAAGATGTACAGAGAGAGCATATGACAACTAAAAAACATATCCAAATGAAAATGTTGGTATTAAGGTCTCAAAATAATACTTTACCATGGATACTTTGCTGGTCCCCACTGTCTGCACAACCTGCAATTTCTTGGCATTTTCTGTTTGGGGCGACTCGGTAAAAGAAGGAACCTGGAAAGTGAAGCTCCCGTCATCTTTTGTGGCAACATCCTTCTTGGACCTTTTAGAGGAAGACTTGTTGCCATCGCCTGAAGAAGTTGGAGTGCGGGGATGTGAAGATCTTTTAGTCTCCTCTGTTTGGTGCTGTACATCAGGCAGTGCTGTAGGCGATGCAACAGGCTGCTTCTCAGGATCAGCAGAAGTTGTCCAAAATTCTACTGCAGAAAACAAAATTATCAGATCTTCATGATGCATCCAGTATTCATAATCAACATGCCACATTCTATGTCAAAACAAAGAAAAAAGTCCAGCAGTGACTAAAACTTTACCATTCTCACTTGCAACTGCATCCGATTTGTCATTCGTACCCGCTGATAGCACAGCTTTGTTCTCTACGTGCACCTTTTCAGTAGCATTTTGGCTAGAATCATTACTCTCTGAAAGTCCAACTTTAGCCATTGATTCTGCAACAAGGAAAATAATATGAAAGTGAAAACTTACACCAATGGATATCACTGCACAAATTATCCAAAGACTGTATCACAAACTATAACCTGCTGCATTTAACAATGTCTTCTCCTCGGTTTCTCTAATAATTGAAGTATCATTTTCCTTGTTTGCGGACATATGAGGCTCGGAACATTCTTCCATCGCCTTTCTACACTCTCGACCATCCTCGTTCATTCGAACTACTTCAGATTCAATCTGGCCTTCATGAGTACAGTTGTCAACTGTCGGTAAAGACTGATCAGTAGTTACACTAAACATTTGTTCAGATGCACCAACAGGAACAATCCCTGATTCGGCGAGAGGATCTACAACAGTTGCACTTTCAGATGTCCTCAGTTCTGAGTTTGAGATCTCTTTTTCAGCTTCTTCGGCTGTTATGGCAGATTCCATGGCTGGTAATGAGGCCTCACTGTTACTGGGATCAGCACTTCCTACTGTATTTTATGACATATTAGCAGCTTCATAAAAGCACAGAACTCATAGAAGAGGGGAAATGGAAAAGAAAAAGGGAGTAAGTTAGGGGTAGCATAATATGACCTCCTTGCAAGGAGGAGGGCTAGTCTTATACCTGTTTCATTGCCACCAGCTGCATCAACTGAGGATTCAATAACTCGAGCCTCGCCTTCTATGCCCACAACAGGCAAAGAACCAATATCCCTCTCAGTTGTGAGAGAAACATGAACGTCATTGTTCACAGTAACACCATTAAAAGGATGATCTGAACTTGTATTTTGCTGAGCAGGAGAGTCTATTGAGCATCTATTGTCTCCATCATTTTCGGGCAGCACAACTGTCTCATGCCCTTGCGGAGTTTCAGCTGCCGAGGATGACAGAGTACCTTCACTAACTTTTGCAGCATGAAGATCAGAATCATCATTACCATGTGCAGAGGAGACCTCATATCTTTCAGTTGTATCAGCACAAGTTTCATTCTCCTCCGATATCAAATGTACCTCAGAGCTTGTGACAAAGCTACCTGCCTGCAACTGGAGAGCACTGTTGCTTGCATCCCTGACCTCAGTTGTCCTGCCATCCAAACTTCCTAACAATATACTTTCACTTCCTCTAGAAACTTCAGTAGCCTTTGTGTCTTCAGAGAAACCAACATCTGTCCTCAAGGTACAAGATCCTTCCGCATTGCTTAAGTTACTGCTACGTACATTTGCCTCACTTTCATATTCCGCAGGGGTGGAGCAGACAGGATTCTGCAACTGTTCACCGCCAGCTTCAATGACAGTGACATCTGAAATCTCTTGGGTTTGACCAATTACACCCCCTTCACGCAAAGCATCACTTTCTTCTATTGGGTCACCAGCATCCATTGCAACCATACTTTTAACACCATCACTTGAATTTGTAATATGATTCAGGGCATTCTCGTCTTCTTTCCTGACTACACATTCTGTATCCACCATATCAACTTGCATTCCTGAAGCAACAGTTTCTTGTGTCCTTATAACTAGAGATTCATAGACCACAGTATTAAACGCACTTTGACCAACACTATCACAGCTATTGTCAATGAACGGGCTCTCCACTGTAGGCAACCCACCCCCTGGACCAACATCCTGGGCCAGAGGAAGCTGACCCCGAACGTCAACAGGTGACCCAGACAATCCCTCATCAATGTCTAGAGGAGGGAGCATTGGCTTTACATCTGGAATATCTACAGTTCTATTTGGTAAATTACTATCCTGCTTCAAACTAGGTTCCATTTGGCTAATCATGCAACCCAGCTCATCACAGGTATTTGACTTCTTAGCAATAGCTTGTCTGGTAACACTTTCTTCCTGTCCCACAGATCTTAGTAACATCTCAACAGATTCTGAGGAAGTGGCCTCAGACCAAACATTGTTCTGTCGTGAAATGCAACAAGACTCTGCTGCACTTGAAGTGAATTGTATTGCAGTGCTTCCTCGTGAATAATCTTCAATCCACTGGCTGTCTTCGTTGCTTTCAATGCCAAGGAAAACCTCTGTTTCTACTAAATTATCAAATCTTAATGGCCCATGAAGATTGTCATCAAATTCAAACTTAGGAAGAGCATATGGACGTAAAACCGGAGGAAACTTGTTGCTCCCTTCACCAGCTAAATGAAGATTCTGGCTTTGAAAATCACTGTCATCATAATCCATGGGTATATTCCTAATCATGATAAAAGCAGTGAAGTAAGTTCTAGGTGCTGCAGATACTACATAACAGAGTCACAACCATAAGCATAGCAGAAAAGTGTATAGCACACATCATCATGCAGATTCACGAATAGAGATTATAACACACTTCAATAAAGCTTACGAGAAATTCTTAATCCCCATCAGTGCACCTATCAGTCAAAAGAAGAAAATGTATTAACAGAAATTATACATTCTGACCCCTGACATTTCCTACCTTCTCAGCTACCACCCCACTTAACTAGATTGAGATCTTATAAACCTTATCAGTCTCAAAATATTCCAATGTCTGCTCATCAAAATGCAGCAGGAATAGTTCGCCTCGCTTTCCAAAGAACCAACTAGAAGAAAATAACTAAAAGCTTATATGATGGTTAAAAAGAAAAGGCCATAACATGTCCAAAGTTACAGTTTACAATTGCATTCATGAGGCTAGATGCAGCCGTTGCAGACAGAAATTGCTTGCAACAAAGTTGCACGAGCGTACAAACCACTGATGGTAAATTAGTTCCTCCAAGAACTGCTGATTACTAGGACATATCAGCCACTGTAGCAGGAAATGCGAGACAGAAGACCAGAATACTAATACTCGTCCACAAAATAAATAAAAAACTACAACAGCAGCCGAATCCATATCCCAACCACCAATGGAAACACTACTTCAAACCCTAGTTCACTCTTAGAGAAACATTCAGCCACTAAGCCTGTTATCACAAAACTATTTGCACCAACTACCATGAAAATTTGACCCGGCTCCTCATAGCCATAACAATTTCAAAAGAGCTCAGACTTCAAACTAACAAGAGCACGACCCCCCTACCCTAACTTCAAACTTCGACTTTACGAGTAAAGAAAAGGTGGGAAATGAAGAGTACCAGCAGCAGAACAAGTAAGTCTAGAGAGGCTACCTCCCTCCATCCGGCGATGAAATCCCAGGCCTCAAGTGTTCCCCAATCGTACGTTCATCTACACCTTCCGACCAAGACGGGCCACCGGAGAGAGCCACCCCACCACCAAGATTATTAGCCTTTCGAAAAGGTAAAAGGGAGGGAAAACCTAATCGAGCTGAAACCGTAGTACAGTACTGACGGACGAAAATTCGTCTCCAGCCAGAGACTGTAGAGCTAGAGTGTCGAGTTCGTGCGGAAGGGGAGGTATCGAGTTAGGGTTCCGGCGAATCGAACGACACGGAGGTCAAGAAGCTCTGAAAGCAAGCAAGAAAACGACAGAGAATATAAGGGAGTGAGTGTGAGGGAAGGAAGAAAAAAGGAAAATTAGTGCCCTTTTAGTTCTTTGTCAGTAGCTAGCGCCTTCTTCGTTTTTTTTTTCCCCCTTCCTTTCACACTTCTATTTAGAGTTCAAAGTTCGAATAGTTAAAATTCCATGTGGACCACAACATCGCCTGAAGCCCTGAACAAATAATTCAAAGATTTTATCATTTTTGTTATTTTGTTTGGTTTATGTACAAATTGATAGTTTAGGTAAGAAAATATTAAAATAGTGGCAATGGATGAAATATAAATTAAACTAGTAATCAGCCCGCGCTCCGCGGCGGGATAAGTTTGGCTTAAGTAATTTCATTGATTATGATATATTTTTGTATGCATGTAATCTGGAAATGGTTGAGATAGTTGTTGGATAGAGTTTGTTCTATGGTATTGTTAAGCTTAGGCCATGCTCTGTCGCGTAGAAATGTCAATATATGTTATCAGCGCACACGGGGGCGCTCGATTGTGTGACCTAGCTGTCTTCATCAAGCATCATTGTTGCCAAACCAAGAATGTTGGCATTGTAGATACATTATAGTTGGGTGCACGAAACTGTGTTGGGGATTTAGTGTATCAAGGCATAAAAACAAAAGATAGTACATAACAGCCTTGTGAAATCCAGAAGTCCTAGCGAACTGCCTAATCAAATTTAAACATTGTTTTGTCCTCATTGGACCTGGAGAATGAAAACTTAGTTAAGGAAGGAGGATAATAGAGGTAGATAACACGCATCAGGGACTCTTTCTGTCATTGGTGTTGACGATCACTTGTCGATTCTTGATGTATGCCAAAGTGTTGAAACTCTTGTGTGAGGTTTGGCTGGTGCGGTTCTGTTCCTCAGATCTGAGGAACCGATGTACAGCTCACCTGCAAACATTCTGCTGCATTTTTTGATCAGCAATGCCTTAGCCGCTTCCGCATCGAGTTTCTCGTACTTGCTTGGTGACATTCCGATTATTGAGAGAGTTGCCTCATGGTCCAGTATGGCATCAATGTCATCAGATCCTTGTTCACACTTGACTTCTAGATGATAGTGCAAGCTAGTCATAAATATAAGCGAGAAGTTATGTTAGCTTATTTGGGATAAATTAGGAAGTAATAGATGTGATGTTCACATTGAAATAGGAAACTTACTCTGACCATTCCTCAGTTGCTCGGCAGATACCTTTTTGAAATTTCAACTGTGATATGTGGAACTTGGCACGGTAAAGCACCTAATATGAATGGTACATCTTAGTTAGAAATGTTTGTTTGTAAAATGTAATTGTGGGATGTAGCTATTTATGAAGCATGTTGTCCCCGACTAACCTTGTGGCAGCTCTGATCAGATGCAAGCATAGCTTTGATGTCAGCGAGTGTTTTCTTTTCAACTGTTGATCGAAGGCAGTCTGTTTTCTTACTGGTGTTGGCGTCCATGTAGTAAACCTGTCTGCGGCTATGAAGGAAGCTGGTTGTAGCAAAATAATAAAAAGTGTTATCTTTGTTCTGGTTGATTGGCAGTATATATGAATGAAAGAATGAATAACACTTGTTCAAAGAGGAGTGTACATGAGCATAATTTCCTTGAATGTGCCTGTATAAGATCTGATTATCAACTCACTGGCAGGGGTGGATTCAAAACGATACTTATATTTCTGGCTGGATAGAGGCGACACTCGAATAGCAGATTTGATTGTAACAACGAGGGGCAGGTGAGCCTCGGCTGTCGGCGCATCCTCTAAGAACTTCGGAATGTCATATCCTCGATACAGAACAGTTGCCTTAGCGCCACTGTTCGTGGCAGATGTATGTGAGGTTGATGATTCATATAATTGATAAAGTAGCATATTATTCTATAGAACGCACCTCACATCCTGTATGACCATGTGGAATTCTTTGAGAGTACCACGAAATGTTGTAGGAACACTTATACGCCTGACGCATGCAGTGATATCTGTGGTTAACGGAAGAGTTTGTCATTTTAAAGTTTACGTTTATTTTAGCATGGGAAACTGAGATAGTCAAGCGTACCTGTATGATAGTCAATGGTATTTGTCTGAAGTGGTACTATCGAAAAGGCCATCCCAATGTCCCAGTCGATGGGTAATCGTGGCTCATCTGGGTCTTCTTCAATTCTGGAGATGTTTTGTTCGGGAGTTATGTGTATCCTTAACTCTCCTGCAACAATCCTAGGATTCTCTCTTGCTGGTATAGCCACCACCGAATCAAAACGATAAAGGTTCCCGACTTTAATCTTGCGAGAAATCTCGCTGATGTCTTTTTCATTAACCACTGACTTGATCAATCGTGCCTATAGGACAAACAGTTTAGCGGTTTTAAACTACATTGTACACTGGTTTAAAAGCACTTATGAATAGATTATGCAATCCTGTAACTAAATTGTAAATGAACCTTCTTGTCTATCCAAATCATGTGCATGCTGAGGTTTTTAAGCCCGGGTGCCTCTCAGAATTCGAGCCACGTCATCACAGGCCGAGCAATCACTATGCGAATGTTTGTGCCCAAACGCAAACCCCGAAATTGCATGCAAGTTTCAATCGGATCTATAAGACAATAAAGGGAAACGAAATGGATTTTTTATCTTTCTTGCAGAGGAATCGAGATTCTTGGGAGGATTTGTTTACGAAAATGGAAGTTGCTAACTTTTGCTATCGGTGGGGACTGTGTGAGCGCCATCTGTTGACTGGCGGTTTTTGGCTAAACTCTCCATGCCAGGTGGGGTCTCTATGCGAACAATACAAATACCGACCAGAAATGTTGTTTCAGCAATAAAAGCGGTGAAGAAGAGAGAGACGTGGACTTACCTTTGTTTTAAAGTTTGTCTGATAGTTTCTGTTGTGGGGCTTCCTCGAGGGAGAAAGGTTGATGAAGATGTGGACGGCGGTTCTCGATGGTTGATGAGGGAGGATAGGGTTTTAAAGAGGATCGCTTGGTTTGGATGGGCCTGTATTATGGGCTTATATTTAAATCACGTTTGTGACTATAAAGGGTTTACATTGGTCATTGTATTATGGGCTTGAACAACGGGCCTGTATGTTTTCTGATTTATCTTCGTATTGCTCTATAGTTTTGTGGATTGTGGTCCAGGCGAGACAATTTGTACAAAATTGAGTTTTTTTTATCTAAAATTTAGATAAATACGGTTCTAATAACTCAGATCTTCCATTTATATGATATGAACTGCAATATGTGTTTGAGGAACTGATCGCCAAAAGTGAAGGTGAATGTAGTTCTTGATCATTCATGATTTGGACGCATGATCAAGACAAAACATTCACCTCTCTGAACTATTAAGATACAAACATCACGGTCTTCTATACGGGCAAAATACAATAACCGGCAGGTAGGCAATAGTCAAAGTGAGTGCGTTAGTGAATTTCTTCTATCCTACAAAAGAAAAAACAATTTATTTCAGCCACATTTACTGATGCAAACATTTGTTAGTTTAATAGGTTTAATGGAATTACCTGATAAGTAGTTTAGGTATCCACTATATTGGCAAATGCTTCGTTGAAGACTATGTTTCTTGTAAAGTCATGAGGTATTTCTGGTGGGTTTTCTATAAGAATCCTCAAACCTCTTGTTGATTTTACTCTTGAAACTCCCACATAGAGTTGGCCATGACTAAACACTGGTTCAGGCAAATATATCCCAACTTTTTCGAGTGTTTGTCCTTGGCTTTTATTTATAGTCATCGCATAGCATAATCGCACTGGAAATTGCCTCCTTTTGAGTATAAAGGGCCACTTGGAGTTCTCCACATTCAACACTATTCTTGGTATAATGACCTCATCAGTGTCATAAGAACCGCCCATAATGTTGCCTTTATATAGTTGTCCCCCAACGATGTGATCATTATTCTTGTGCCGTTGCATAAGCCAAGACCAGGGTTCAAGTTGCGTAAGAGCATAACTGGTGTGTTTACCTTTAATGTGATCTCATGGTCTGGTACTCCGTTGAATGTAAGAGTGTTGAGAAACTCAGTTGGATAGCTTTCATCAAACGAATCCGTTGTTTCTGTCGACAGCAGTAGCGAGTCAGAGCTGTAATAGGTCGTCGGATTTCCTGGAACATTCTGTATCATAAAATTATTAATTGTAGAAACAGTTGCATTCGTTGGAGTAATTATGGCTCTACTGGTGAGGTACGCTGGGTGTCTATGATTTCGGGGGAACGAATCATAGATATCATCTACGATTGACTGAACAGGATCAACTCCAGGATCAATTAGGAACAATTGTGGAATCTGTATCCAATCCATTGGAGCATCTTCTCTGAATGATCTTGCTTTAAGTTTTCCATCTCCTAAAGCGAGGACCCATTATGGGAATGTATATCCATGTATTAGTCGCTGGTCAGCATGCTGGGCTTCTGTGATTCGCATTTTTGTAGATAGCTGCATAACTTTAAAATAACCCCATAGTTTGGATCTAGTCAATGAGCTATCAACTGTTTGTTCACGCCCAGCCTCGGTTATAACTGGAAGAGTTTGGTGAAAATCTCCACCAAAAAGAACAGTCTTTCCTCCAAAAGGTTTATAGCTATGTCCATTCAGCGAAACATTTAATATATCGCATAAAATGCGATCCACTGCTTCAAAAGCTCGTCGATGTGTCATGGGCGCCTCATCCCATATGATTAAGGATGCTTCTTTTAACAGATCAGTTAAATGTGTGCCGTGTTTAATTGGACATGTCGATGTTGCATCCAGAATCAGAGGAATTTTGAATCTGGAATGTGTTGTGGATGCTTTGGGAAGAAGTGTTGTTGCGATACCTGATGATGCAACCAGAACAACTATTTTCCCCAAACTCCTAAGCCTTGCTGTAATTACATTATAGAGATATGTTTTGCATGTACCTCCGTGGCCGTATACGAAGAAAGCACGACCCATCTTGTTGTGTACTGAATTGATAACAGTTGAATACACATTGGTTTGCTCAACATTCAGTGATTGTAACATTGTGGTGGCCAATGCATGTTGCTGGCCTACATCGAAAGCAAGATGCTCGTTTATCAGTGGATTCTCACCACTATCGCATAAACCATCTTATGGGAGTGAAAGATTAAAGTCCTCAAGAGTCATTGAGTGTGAGCTCAACATAGTCTGTAGTTGATGTAGAACCCAGTTCTGCAGTCGTTCGTCGCTAGGCCTCAGAGTCTGATCTTTGAAATCCTTGATTAAACTGTATGCATAATCTTCAGACATAGATTTCCAAGAAGAGTTGAACAATGTTATCGGGCTTGGTATTTCACAGAACATCAGCATTGACACGAAAGTGCTTCGAATCACTCGTGGCATGCTAGAAGATGAGATATCTGCTAATACTCGTATCCATTCTGAAGAGTCTGATAAAAGGCCCAATTTTTCACAAGCTTTTTCAAAATCTGCACAAAGTTCTCCATTGACAATCCTGAGCTGAGCATAACTAACAGCGCCGCGAATTTTTGTGAGCAGCATTCGGAGGAAGAAAACATCACCAGAACCTGGTGGAACATATGCAATTCTGCCTATTGCGAATCCTTTCTCGCTTACAGTCAGATAGCTAAGTGTAGTTGTTGGGTATCTGTGCATATGTCAGAATTCTCGCTTGGGGGTCTCTACGATTAAGCGCAAACCATTCGGTTAAGTGCGTCCTACCGGCATAAGGATTCCCCAGAACATTTCGAACATTGGATTGCTTCTTATAAGGTATTTTTTGCTGACCATCCAAATGAACTCCCAAGCGCACAACTGCTGGCTCTCTTACATGTATTGGATACTCATTCAGCCTCCATGTAGCTTCATAAGACAACAACGATCGGCAGTCAATGAATTGCTGAATTTCATCTCTGTATTTCACGGATTGCACTTCTACATTATTGTGAGGTGCATCAGCATTTTCAGCAATCACCAATGACCTGTCTGGACCTTTTGTCACATATTTGAAAAGATATTTAATAAGTTTGCCTTTATGACATACTCGACATTGATATGAGCCTGCATTCTCACCAACAAATTTCGGTTGTATGGAACAACATGTCGATTGTCGAGGACTGAACTGTCCTTTTGAACCTCTATGCCCGAGTTTGATCTTCTATAGACGATATTTTCGAATTTGTCAAATGGCGTGGCTGAGTTAAACTCTTTTGGGAATTGTTTGGAGCATCTGCCGTTTGAGGATCGTTTTTTGTCTCGCATGCACGGTGCATTTGTGTTTGCTTCGCCGCATGGGCCATGTAACATATATTTGAAAACAGCCTCATACCCAACTGGATCTTGTTGAGGGTCAGGAATTTCAGCTGAGATAACCTCATCAATGTCAGCAGTTGTCCTCAGTTTATTCTCCTCGGCCAGCCAAACCAGCAAGTGTATGTGGGGCAGACCTTTCTTTTGGAACTCCATTGTATACATTACTGGCACAAAACAAAACCTGTTAAGAAGCCAAATATCAATTTACGTGCATTGAAAGACAAATGATAGTCAACGCTGAAAAAAACAAACTACATTAAATGACCAGGCTGATCTTACTTGTAATCGTCTTCCCAAAGTAGGAGTTTTTCTTAATGTCATCAATCAGAATGTTGAGCTTAATGTGGAAAACCCTTGAAACCACCATTGGTTTGTCCGAGCTATTTGGACCAACAATATCGTGAAAAGCTTCTGTGATTTCTTCCCACAATGAATTACACGTAAATGTAATAAATAGATCCGGATTTCCAAAGAATTCGACCACCGCCATTGCTTCGTGATATAATTGTTGCATATATCGTGGTCTACCTATATAAGTCCCTGGGAGGACAACATGACCCACTTTATCCCCGTCGAGATCACCCCACGCCATTGCATCCTGTAAGCCTTGATAAACTTCAGCTCTAAGTTGGGCGTCAATACAAAAGTGTTGAAGAGCTTTTCCAGCTTGAACAATTATATGGCCTTCGTTGATGCGATATTGGAGCCTAAATGTGTAGTATTCACGCTAAGTAACAAACTGTCTGCGCATAGAAGGAGGACAAAAAGCTGACCTGTATTTGATAAGCGGATGATAACCATCCTCTCCATATGGAAATAAGAGTGGGAAATGCAATGCATCAAATTTTGGATTGAGACTTGTAATTCTCTTTAAACCTTCATAAATGTAATCAACAATGATATCTCGATCGTCTCTGTCTGGAATAAAATTTCCTGGTATGAGTGCCGCGATTTCAGTGCTGCTTGGCAAGTCATACTGTCGATTTCTGCTCTTAGTTCCAAAAATTCGAAGCTTCAAATTTGTCGTTATAGAATCCTGCAACTGCTGTCGAACTCGCCTGAATGTCTTGACAAGTTGATTGTTTTGATCCAGCATTTGTAGCAATAAAGTGAGTAGTTCTGGCATAAGTAGAGCATCACGGGAAGCAAAATTTGCCAAATGGTTGTCAATTTCATTCTCTGGTTAAAAAATATAGAGCTGGGAAAACTTTGGTTTTTCACCATCAGGAGGCAACAACGAACCAATCCTATGATAATTTTCTCCACATATTACCATTGAATAAGGCCCCCTTCCAGAGAGCGAGGGCCGATAGAAGCGCCAAATGATGTGAAACACAATGAACCATTATACGGTCTAATGTTATCCCTGAAATGCTTGGACATAGCGCCACCATCAAACCGCAGAAGTTCAGCCAACAAATGTGGAGGTTGTGCTAAGAGCGGCAAACCAACGCGACCTTTTTGACAACATAATGCATAAATTGGATTAGTCGTCGCTCGATGGCGGTCGAGCCTCTCCATATCCCAAAACAAAGCACCACAGTATTTACAAACACACTATGGCTGACCAATCCTCAGAATATCATTGTGGAGTGGCTTTCTAGCCGTGGGAATATGCCTAGCACAGAATGGAGCTCCGCACAAATTCCGCCGATTCAAACGATCAGTTTTCTGACGGCTAGCTTGTATTACTCGACCGATGCTTTCGTTACATTCATCCCCCATATCACGCATACCTTGTTCTTGACAAAATATGGGTCGAGTTATATCTCTGGATCCCAATTGCTTCATATTCTGATAGCGCGTTTTCCTCGGCCGTGATGGACCTGATATGTATACAACAAACATAAGAGTGGTAAGTATACTACGGTAAGCGACCGATATGAACGAATGTTAGTAACGCATAATACAGGCATGGATATTTCATGCTTCAGATAGCAGACATAGAATAATGTTTAACTTATCACCAGCCGGCGATGGCGAAACTTGATGAAGATTCAATAATGCCCCCCCGCATGGTGCACTGAGACACATCAGATGTTTCCCCAAACATTGCTGAAGGAGTTGTAAGATCCTCTGATGGCTGTTTGGGAATTTCAATTCTAGCTCTTTTACGTGTTAAAGTCTGATATTGAGCTTTTCTTATTCTTGGAGGCATTGCCGCACAGTCTAGACAAAAGCATGTAAAGGATCAACGTCATTTATTACTGGGACGCTTCATTAATAGGGCTGAGATGAAATTGGATATAATGAATCAATAACGGACATAATTGAAGATTACTCTACCTTGAACAATCAAAGGCGTGGTGGTTGTGTAGATGACTGTCCAAATCGGCTGACAAGCATAAGATACAAATGAGGAAATCTTAGATGAAATATCAGAGTGGGATGGGAGAAGTTCCCAGAGAAGTTGACACTACCCCAATGAAGAAGAAGGCCTGCGTTAAAATGCATCATCATGGATATTTGAGGTATGCAATCATATATACCTATATTAAAATGTGCTATTATGGGTATCCGTGATATTAGATATGCATTAGTATATTGCTTTACCACTCCAAAAAATCTAACATTGTGCTAAATTAATAAAATGAGAAAAAGCAATCATATTAGTTTAATCTTTGGATAGAAAGAGGCTTCATTACTGCGACAAAAGCGATTACGGAGGAAATTGCTCGAGTGATTTTCCATTTCGGAACATGTGAGCTCAATTGGAATCCATAAATATTGGGATCTAACATAATTAACACATTCCTATTCCAATTGCTCATATATGTTCAAACGTGCGTTTTCAGGACTATCAATTCCACAAAATGTCGAACATGTTTTAACACATCTTGGTAACTAAATTTATAGAACAGGTTAATTCCTGAATAAACGTGAGTTTGTTAGACTTTAAGAGGAAGAATCAACGAACATTTAGCAAAACAGGAGCATGACTACGCTAAGAATGGACATACATTGTCCCTGCAAAACGAAACAACCTATTTAAGCAACGATAAGTAGAAGTTATATTATATATAACATCTCACAAGGGAAAAAAGCCCGGTTGCAATATTACATTAAGCTACCACGCAAAAGTCACATATAGAAACCAACACTACCTCAATACCGCCAAAAGAACTACTATCCGACAAAAGATAGATGGCTTCATAAACGAAAAGCACAGAGAATATACATCCTCTGATAACATCCACATAGGTGCAGACAGCACAATTCCGAGACCAGAAGGCCCAAAACATGATTGTCCAAAAAAAGAGAATAATTTGCAAAAGCATAACGAAACATAATATCTCCTCGAACATAAGACAGCTACAATCCCAGAGACATCATCAAACACATCTTTAGTTGCTGCAGCAAACAACATGGAATAATAAGAATCATGACACGCACAAAAACTAACCTACAACAAAAATGTTATGAGAGAATAGGATCAAACAACAGAGCTAGGAGTACCCTTGAAACCATGATCACTTCTTGAACAAACCACGCTTTGCTGCCAATTTTTTCTGACTATCCACCAAAGCATCCCTTTCTATATCAACACCTGCCTACGAGGAACCACCATGTTGCGCCTGAGCACTTTCGGCAGCATCCAATTTCTCCACCTTGATCTTGGCCAGTGGAGAAACCAACCTTGAAACAAAAAAAGTTTTTCATTCTAAGAACGGGAGCAATAACACAAACATAAAACAGTGGAAAATTGACAATATAGAACATAAATACTCACGGTGATCCGAGGGTGACACGACGGTTGAACCTAAAGTCATTCCAGGAGATGACTCGGGTGATGGCTTTAAAATTTTTGCAGCTGGCATAGATGAGCCACGGCCAACATCCTCGGGGCTCATAGACTCTTCAATTCTTGCTGATCGTCTGGGGATCATTGAAGCAGCAGATTGGACAGATGGTACAGCAGAATGAACAGCAGAAGACATCGCAGCATGTGCAGCAGTTCGGGTAGAGCCCACCTGTACACCCATCACTGAAACCTGAGAACCTCCAAGAACCCGCGACTCAGTATCAATATCTTCATTTCTGACATTTGCAAAAATAGGGTTCCGGAAATCCTTGCCCTCATAACTGGGAAATCTGCAAATCATAATAACTGATTCAGGTAACATCCTCGAACAACATCGCAAATTAGCAAAACAAACTTCGGGAACAACGTCAATACATGTCAATCAGATCTGGTTCATCAGTGATGCTAAACGGCATAGCTGGAGCTTCAATGAGAAGAGAGTCTGAAACCTTTTCCTTTCCCTTCGAGGCCCTTGAGAACATATTACAAATATTCCACTTTAGACATGGCAGACAGACCAAAGCAAAACACACAGAAACCAAAGCACCCAACACTGACCTCGATGAACCAGAGCCCCCCCCCCCCCCCCCCCCACGATACTCGATGCGTGCACCATAGGAGCAGCCAAGGGAGGGGGCGAAGAAAACTCAAGCAGATCACCCACCACAGTAGGATCATCAAGAGGAACCACTTGGGTCACACGGAATTCACCCTAGGAGAAACTAGTTGAGCCCGGAACGACAACCTACAATCTAACTTGACATATTGCCCTCGTAACTGATGCAGTTGTGGGGGCAGCTGACCAGGACGATGGGGGAACCTCTGGGCCAGATGTGCAGGAGAAACGTTCACCAGCGTAAGTGCACACCCCCCCATCAGTATAAAACGCGCCTCACAGGAGTCATCCCTCAGTGTAAGCTGGAGCTTGTAGCTGAGGGAAAAAGAACATTAGCAACAAAACTTACAACAGGCAACAAACATACAAAAAATGATACATGGTCATACTTGACGCGAGTTTGTTCCTCGTCCAACTGCCAATCCTTTGGACACCAAAACGTATCATCACGACGCTTCAAAACAGCCCTCGAACATAACTTGCATGAAATACAATACCAAGGTGTGCTTGACTCGACATCAACAATCACTCCACCACAGCGGTACTTCTCTTCCTAACAAAGAAAATAAGGGCAAGTTACGTCCAAACACGGGGGAAATAATAGGAATAAACTTTTTAGACGAATACGCAATACCAGTGACGAATTTGTTATGGATAACGCCAGCAGTTGACTCAAAGTCCTGGTTCGACGATCTGCATCAGCTGTAGCATCAGAGGCAGTAGCAAACTCAACCAGCAAGGATTCAACAACCTCATGTTTCTCAGCAAACCTAGCAGAGATCCAAGCACCATAATTTAGACAACATAGGAGCCTTGGCAAAAAATGGACCACACCAACAGTACACAAAATTGGCAACAACCCACAACTAACTTACCTAGATGCAAGAAAATAAGCATTTGGTACAGGAGGATTGACTGATATGTGAGTAGCGGCAGAACTCGACAGAACATAATCATCTGAAAAGTAGAATAAAAGACGACAAAAACTATATAACATACTAATAAACCACACTCAATCTAACGAAAAATAAGGAAGCAACAACATACCTCCCAGCTTATTAACCAGCAAGCCGCCAAATGCCAAAATCACAGCTTCAATCGAGTCAGCCTGAGTGAGAGCAACATGATCCAACACCGCAGAAAACTCATCCCAGAGCGTAATCGAGACCTTCGCTCCACTGAGAAAAGAAACAGGGACACGTAAGAGAAAAAATAAAAAACACGACAATCACAACCGAACCCATAAACCCAGAAAAGCGCAAAACACCTTTCATCCTCAACTATAACCGTTTGCTTGACTGCAGGCCCGTTATTTGTGATCTTGTGCGATATCCCGCTGATCGAACTGAGTCGGCCAACGACATCTACGAAAATAGTACAAAGGTAAAATCTTAGTAAACAAACAACAGATATATAAGCAAAGCAAACCTAACAAAAACAAACCTGCTAACCTTTCAAATAACGATGGTTACCGGCATGCATATTCAACTGAGAGAAAGCCACAAACTCGTAAGCATCAAGTGGGAAACTTTCAGTAGGAAGAACACAGGGCTGAAAAGAAGCCGAAGGCGAAAGACCCAAAGCCAAATCAAAGGAACACGCCCGATACTGATTCGGCGGATTGCTCAGGGCAAAAGAATTTATGATGTATATCTTGCCAACCGAGAGATTACGAAGAATCCCAGCAGCCATTGAAGTCGGCGAGACGCCCTATATCAGCATACCCTGCGCAAAACACACCAGCCTAGCGCATGAACAAAGCGAATAGGGAACAGCAAACGGGGGCAGAAAAGAAAAGGCGGGAAGGACAGGAACCTAACCGTTTCGTCGACCCAAAGAGTATAGTAATTGTAGATCCTAATGTCCCCCGGAGACTTCGTCGGCCACACATGCAGCAGTCGGAGCCGCAAAGAAACGCTGGCATTGCGCGGACCTCCGAGGTTACAAAGCAGCGTAAACTCCATGGTTTGGGAAATAAAGAGCACCAAAGAGAGAGGAAACAATTTTTGAGAAAGAGAACAAAATGACAGTAGGGACGTTCCGGCGCTCCGAAAGAGTAAAAAAATGAAGGAAAGAATGAACAGACGTGAAAGTAGTGTATGTCAGTTACCGGTCCAATGACGAAAGGAAACGTAAAAAATGGGAAACGACACTGTAATTGACAAAAAGATAAGGACAACGTAAAATCAAGGAACCGCCAATGAAACCATAAAAAGCAATGAAGGGTTCCAGTCGCCGAAGCGGCGGTTGTCAGATATCAGGCCAAACACAAAGGAAACCGCTCCCCCCAGGCCCAAATGCAAAACGCTGTGTATAAAATGGCGCGCCCATCATTGGCCGAAATCCAGGAAGACAAGAAAGAATGCCCATGTGCAAGAGAGAAAAGCAAAGCAGTGCGCGTAATAATTATATATGCGGCGGCCTCAAGGGAAATGATAGAGAGGAGCAGAAAATGCAGGGAAAATGAGCGTCCATTTGAGGGCAACGCGACACACACAGAAACAACAGAAAACAAATAAAAAACCGGCCCACACACTGCTGAGCAGCCAATAAGAAAATGCGGCCGCAGAGCATGGACCAATCAGGGGAGGGTGAACAGTAATTTTGAGTCCAAATGAATAGTAAATTGTGTCTAGGCGAACAGTAACCGTGTCTTTGCAAATAACTTGTTCTAACATGGGATCATGTAAACTTGACTCTTTTTTCATCATGTCATACTCATACATAACATACAAATCTTAAAGGTATTTGATTTAATTATTTGAGAGTTTAGTTTGGGGTTCAACTATTTAGAATGATAAATGAGTTGAGCTCGACTCGAGCTGGTGAGCTAATTGATTAGCCGAACTCGAGTAGTGCTTGTGAGCTTATTAATTAGTCTAGCTCGAGTCAAACATGAGCTAAGATTTTAGTAAATGAGTCAAGGTTGAACTATTTATTGATGGACATATCTCAAACTAGGTATCATCCAACTCGACTCTATTCATTTGCAGACGTATGGCTACGTTGAGTTGTGATAAAATCCACATAATTGTACTTGGTGTCTGGTGTGTAAGTTTTCAATCAATCAAAATAATGGTTAGGTCAACCACTTGACTAATTATGCCGACTGCATGGCCCATCTAGTTGATCACATAGTTACATAGATCACATTGTCGATTACATTTACAATTAGGTCGACCACATTGTTGATCAGATAGATCACATTGTCGACTAGGTTGATCACTTCCTCTTCTATAAATATACTAATGTGTCATTTGGAGGTTGAGATTCAAGTGATGTATTTAGCCAACACATGCAATGTTAAAATTAAGTCTTTTTTTTTTGTTAAATTTGTGATAGAATACATGTATTACATTTTATGGGTCCATCTAAAATTACTCAAAATGAGTGATTATCAATCTCTACCAATAGATGAGATTGTTAACAAAGGATTTTCTACTCAATATTTGTTCCATCTTTGTCCCTACAGCTTTTTTTTTTATTTCAATATTACTTTCATCTACATCCCACCTCTATATAATAAATGAAGGGAAAAGAGGTCATTGATTGTGAAAAGTGTACTATTTCTCATTTATAACAAAAACACAATTTAAATCTCCAAATAAAAATATTTTTCAAATTCATACATTTAGTTAATGCATCAAATAACAATACACAAATTGATTAAATACATCAATTTAGAGAATTTCAACTTCTAAGAGACCATTTTTACATGTTTTTTAAACAAATACAAGTTAAGGGTTTAGGTTCGAGGGGGTTCATGTGTTAGTGTTTAGGGTATTCTATGTTAGGTTTAGGGTTTATAAGTGGTTAGACAAGAGTTTAGGGTTATTGGATTTAGGGATTTCGGTAGTGATTGCAATGGGCGGCGCGAGGCGGTACTTCAATACTCATGCCCCCGCCCCATGCTACTACGGGTCAGGGCGAGTAAAACCCGTGTGGGTACGGAGCGGGACAGGTCGATCCACTCTTACATGTTATTTGAAAAAACACTCGCAAATTTTACTTTTTACAATAAAACGAAGGGGAAAACACTTTATGAATGAAAAATAGTGATAATATAATGGGTAACTACGTCTACACAATTGAAAGATCGACTCTAACTAGTTGAAGAAAAGTCAAAATAGGAGAAACATATGTAGATATTGTAAGAAATTGAGGTAGAATGGGTCAAGAACGGAGCCGGGTGGGGCGGAAGTAACCCATGCCCCGCCCCACTCTACTGCAGGTCGGGTAATACCTTGTTGAATCTGGATGACGACCGCTTCGAATCACCTTCCACTATCACGTGAGTCAAGGAACCTAAGACGACGATGATGATAACATCTCTTACTGCTAGGAGCTCTGCCAGGTAGGGTTTGACTACTCCCTGGTGACGCAAACCGACTGCCATCTCCACATGCCCGTCTGACCCACGGATACCAAGACCAGACAAGCACCCTAAGACACGAACAGTTGCATCGAAGTTGATCTTCAAAAAATCGTCTAGTGGAGGCTGCCAAGTGGCGGGAGGAGGATTTTGGGAGGAGCGAACTGGGGGCGGAGGAGGGGGTGACAATTGGAGACTTCAAGGACTTGGTAGTAGAATTTTCTAGCGCGGGAACGAACATGAGAGTGGTAGAATTCAAAAATTACTTTATTTCTAAACTTCCAGACTCTCCATAGTAAACAGACGCATTGGAGAATGTGGAATGGAGAGATCTCAGAGATCATGACATGTCGCCCCCATAGACTAAAATTAACAGTCGGGGCGAAATCATTGAAGTTGCTCAATCCCACTAAAGTCCACAACTTGGTGGTTAGGGGGCATTTGAAGAACTTGTGTTCAATGTTTTTTTAGCGAACCATTAAAGAGCAAAGAGCACCATAAATAGGAGGTCGCTTTAGTGACTCATTAGTCACTTGTAACATGGAATAGGTTATTGCTTTAGGTGGAATTTCGCGTGAATCAATGCACCCTGACTTCAAGGAAACAGAAAATGATGTTACTCGGTTCACACCTCTTCAAACACTATTCGAACTAGGGTGTTCGATGCATACATCAAAGGATCTGGCTACATTTATCTCTACTCCTATGGAGATTCCTTGAGAGCTCCGCAACTACTGACTACAACTAACAGAGAAGCCTCGTTGGAGGGTCCCTGGTGCTACCGCTACGGTTATTGTTCTAGAGAGAAAAGATAAATTTTGTCGATACTGTTTGTGATTTGATTTGTCTGTCCCTCCTCCAAAACCTTATTGCAAGTTTTGTTGTGTCTTGCCCTCTAACCGCCTTCTCTCTCTCTTCCTCAAAATTAGCTCCACGTAGCATCTAGTAACTCCTGCAAACGTCCTTTGTAAGTCAGTTGTTGCTTTTGGTAACCACCTTCGACACGTCATCATGTCCCTGGACAATCATCCCTACGTACCATGGATGAACAATTAGATGGTCACCGTACACCAAATAACATGGACGATATCCATGTTGTTGCATGGAACCATCCACTTTAAGTTTGGATGGTGTCCATTATATTTGGGATGGTGTCCCTGGATAGTACCATCCACCATAGGGTTTGGACGGTTTCCATGATGTTGGACACTACCATCCATAATTGGGTTTGGATGGTATCTATGTTATTGGACACTACCATCCATAATGGGATTTGGATGGTATCCATGTTGTTGGACACTACCATCCATAATCGGATTTGGATGGTATCCATGTTGTTGGACACTACCATCCATAATGGAATTTGGATGATATCCATGTAATTGGACACTACCATCCAAAATGAGATTAGGATGATGTTGGACACTACCATCCATTATTGGATTTGGATGGTATCCATGTTGTTGGACACTACCATCCATAATGGAATTTGGATGATATCCATGATGTTGGACACTACCATCCTTTAATCCTACGACCCAACTTGATAAATTGGATCATCCATGTACACATGGACCATCCACTTAAATTGGCCAAACTGTTCATACATGTAATAATTAATGAAAATTATTTTGCTGTAAACAAATTCCCCCCACAACTTAGTCATAAGAAATTATAGACTAAGTTGTTGACACCAACTGTATTAGATGCGCAATCACTTGAAGCAGATGTTGGCTTTACGTAGCCATGTCTCCAAATCATATAAGGAATTGAATTCCTTACTGGCCAGGTAAACAAAACACACAAAGAGGGTGTCCCTCTCCAACTCGGCTAATAATACAATTTTTAGCCAAATAACGTGGCCTACTTTTCCCTTTTTTGATAAGGAACACAAATTCTTTTTCATGTAGGACACATTCTCTTAACCTATATCCTACTAGTAAAAGGAAACACATTCCTTGAAGGACACAACTAATTTTTTTCTCTAAAAATTGATGCTCCCATCTATCATAATTCAAAACTCAAAAACTACCACCGTACCTCTAAAGTTGTGCGATGCTTCACCACTGCAAGTCTCCTGCTGCTCGGCCTCAAATCACCAAGCCTAGGTACTTTTCCTCTTTGCTTCCGCAATCTTTATTGTGTCATTGACCATTAAAACTTGAAATCCATGGTTCCTTCTCCATTAGCTAAGTATGCGACCAGTTTATGATGTTATTTAGCTTGGCCACTTTTGTAGATTGGCATTCACGTGTAGCTTTATATGACGCCTTCATGTATTTTTTATTTTTATTTTTTACAACAATGAAGATGACCGCACACCTCATTGCTCCCCTCCTTTTCTTAATTTGCGGCGGCCATCCATCTTGTAATGACCATTATTAATTTTTTTTAGGTCGTGCCAAGCTTGGCAGAAGCAGAGAAATTCTTTGTAAGTCTGAATGAGAATGGATCTAGTCTAGCCCTGCATTCCTCCAATGATCCACTCACTAACGCTCTTGCTACCATTGATCAATTCCTTTCTCTCCAAGTGGATGAAGCTGCTAACACTCCAGAGACCAACTAGCCCGATGCGACCTTAAAGTTGTTGGAGACTGTTCCCACCGACGAGATACCATTAGGATTTGACCTCAACGACATGCAACTGCGGCAACAAACTGGTTCACAAGTTTGAGCATGTCTCGTAAGTGCATAAAAAGAAAACCAACAACAAAAGGAGTATGGGGAAAAGGAAGTAACACTTCAAGACACCAACAAATCCCTTCAGGTCAACATGAAAAAATTCAACACCACATCCTCCGAGCTTACTTCCTATGCGCAACAACATGAAGCTATACAACAAGGGAACTGCTCTCGCAAAGCAAGGACAGCCGAGTTGCAGGAGGAGATGGCGAAGCTGCAAGGGGAGGTGTAGTCTTTGCAGAAATACATGGACAATGGTCAAGCTCAACATGCTCAACTAGAGGCGACAATCCCTGCCCTTTTAGCTGAGACCAAATTTTTGGTTATGCAAA